GCCATGGCTGCAGGCAGGTGGGTCAGCTCTGGGCAGCAGTTTGCAGTGCAGCTGTGAGGGGTGGAAGTGCTTGTGGTTGTGGTTACTCCTCCAGCCCTGGCAGGAGGTTGGTGGGGGCGGGGGCTGCTGAGTCTAGTCTGATCCCCAGAAATGCACCGGGGGCCCAACTGTCTCTCAGTGGAAGCTGCAGAGCTGCCCAGCCTTGGGTGGTGCTGTGCCAGCCCAGGCCCTCCTGGGCATTCAGAAGCAGTCTTTCTGTAGTGCTGTGGCAGGCGCTAGGCCTCTGAGCTGGGCCTGTTCTCTTCTGGTGGCCCTGGAACCCCTGGCACATCAAGCATGTGCCTGTGAATTCAGGCACCGAAGTGGAAGGAGAGAGTGACTATGTCTCTAAGACGATGCTGGGTCTGGTGCCAGGCTCACACGGGGTCTTAGTCCCTGCCCTGAACCAGTCTGGGAGGAGGTCAGAGAAGTGAAGTGGGCAGTGGTGACACCAGGACATAAGGCACGAGCTGGTGTGCCTGGGCAGAGCCACCACACTGAGGGGTGCCGTGCAGGGGCTGCTGCCTCAGGCCCCAGATCTGAGCCTCCAGGGCTAAAGTTAACAAGGAACAGATCTTAGTCTAGAAAGCAAACTTCTAATGTCAGATGTACTTGTCTTCACACTGCAGCCCAGATGTCACAGCTGGGCTGGCCGTGCCACGCACAGGTGCAGAAGTTTAGCAGAGCAAAGGGGACTGTTCAGCAGCCTGGCTGGGGCACAGCTGCAGGCTCTGCAAGGGGGTGGAAAGACACACCCCCACCAGTGGGGGCCCAGGTGGTGTGTGGCCCTGGGCAGGTGTGGGCAGCTACGGCTCTCCTTCCAGGCAGGGCAATGTGAGCAGCCAGGCCATCCTGCCCACCTGGGTGCCCTTTAAGACCACGGTGCTCTCGGAGGAGAAGCTGGCTTTCTCTCTGCGCCTGATGGAGGGTAAGCAGGGAGGGCTGGGCAGGGCAGCTGCTGGGAAAGCACTGGGCAGTCTCGAACCCCTGGCCGTCTCTTCCAGAGAACTGGAGCACTGAGAAGAGGTCCCCCACCTTCCACCTGGGAGACACGGCTCACCTCCAGGCAGAAATCCACACCGGTAGCCACGTGCCACTGCGGCTGTTCGTAGACCACTGTGTGGCCACGCCGACACCAGACCAGAACACCTCCCCTTACCACACCATCGTGGACTTCCATGGGTGAGGGCTGGGCTCCCTTCCTAGGGCACCTTCCTATCGGGATGGCCCTAGAGCCACCTGCTGGCCTAACACCATCCTTCACTCGTTCTCTTCCAAGTTGTCTTGTCGATGGTCGTCTTTCGGATGCCTCTTCCGTGTTCAAGGCCCCCAGACCCGGGCCAGACACTCTACAGTTCACAGTGGATGTGTTCAGCTTCGTTAATGACTCCAGAAACGTGGTAAGAGCTCCTTTTAATAACCTGGAATGACGGTGAGCTTTCGGTCTTATTATCCTACTAGGGGTCACTCCCTAGCTCTCTCCTTGAGCAAATGACTGATAGTTCTGTCCCTATAACACAACAAACCTACCTGTAGATAAAGCTTTGGGCTTTAGTGAGGCCTTCAAGGAGAAGGATGAGTGACACACACCCCTAAGGGGTAGGTAGAGAACCCACGCAGGGTGGGGAGAGTCAGGGGTCCTAGAAACAGGAAAGACCAGGAGAGCAGGGACCCAGGAGATCTAGCTGACAGCTCAAATAAGACCAAAAACTGCTGGGTCTCATGATCAGTTGCTGACCTTGTCCTTGCCAAGGTCGGCAGGGCCAGAACCCAGATGGGTTGAATGAAGGAGTTGACAAAAAGCAGGTGTCAGTCTTCCTGGAGGCTGTCCCCAGGGGCAAAGAAAGCAGGTACGAACTTCCTAACCAGGTAGCCTCTCGAACTTGATCATAGGCAAGGCCAGTGATTCTGACGGTGGCATCACCTGGAGGGCTTGTTGAAACAGACTGCTGGGCCCCACGCTCAGGTCCAGCATGGAGCCTGGAATCTGCATTCCTAACAAGCATCCAGGTGACATTGGTACTAATCTGGGGCCCACCTCAACAACCACTAAGCTAGAAAGCCCAGGTTGAAGCTAAGGGGGCTGGGGGAGGAGGGAATAAAATGCAGACTGTTCCTGATGGCTGGGGGCGGGGGAGTTGGAGGTGGGAAGGCACAGGTGGTGGGACTGATTCCTAGCCAGATAGTGGGTAGGCTCTTAGGAGTAAAAAATCAAGTCACTTTTAAACTCCCTGAAATGGGAGTAGGGGAATGTGAAGCTTAGAATAGCCGGTCAGGAAGGAGAAATCACTAAAACAGGTGTCTGTCAATGCTGGCTCTATACTGATCACCTGGAAAAAATCAAATACTGGTGCTTGTAGATAATCCTCTATATTAACTTAATTGGGATACTGGCATTACCTTTTTCCAACACATGATAAATCTTGAATTTTACAGCAAGCACCTATGTGCCTATTGTCTAGGTCCTCCTGTTAGCACTCTATTATCCATCCACTGGTCCATCTTGTTTTATTTGGAAATGCATCAGAAGCCACATAAGCTCCCAGGTGATTCTAGTAAACAGCTGGGTTTGCAAACCACTGAAGCAGAGGCTTGGCGTGGCTGGGCGGTGCTAAGGGGTGAAATAGGAGTTTGGAGGAGACTGCATGGACGCTACCCTACCTCTTCCAGCAGCCTTGTGAGAAGAGAAAATCCAATACAGACTAGCAGATAGCAGGAGGGGCAAGAATCTAAGATAATAAGATGGCCTGAAGCTCTTGAGGGCAGGTCCTAGGTTGAATGGGGCTGGGGAAAAAAGACAGACTTGGAGAAAGGCCTGGTCCCTGATTAGAGACCTGTGGGTCCTAGGGTAGAAGATCCTGGTGGGGTAGAGTCAATGTTGACTTCAGGGCTGGTCCAGTCTGGAAGGAGGATCAGGACAAGGCCTCATAGAAGAGGTAGCCATCAGTACAGGTGCAAACTGAGCTGCCTTCTGCATCTCCAGGCATAGGAGGGTAACCAAGACCAGAGGAAAACACACCTCGGAAGGTGGTCTGATCCCTCAGAGGGCTCCTCCTGGCAGACTAGCCCAAGGCTCAAAGGAAAAGGAATGATCTTAAGAATGACAGGGGAACCACCCAGGGTTTTTAGGTTCTAGTTAGCACAAGAATGTACTGGAGGAAGCTAAAGACAAAAGCCCTTCTCCTTCCTGGGATATGGGCTCTAAAGGGCCTAGACTACTTTCTCTTGCAGGGCAGGTGGATAGAACAGGCTGTCCGAGAACATCCTGGCTTGTTGAAAGGTCTGAACTTAAATGGCTTCTGAAGTGGTTTCCCTGCTGGTACATCTGGCCGCTAGGTGGTAGCCAAGGCTCGTGGCTCTGCAGGAAGCTGCAGCTTTGGGATTTCCATGCCCTTCCAGAGTTGAACAGGGAGACACTGAAGCCCTGCCCAGAATACGAAGGGACATTCTGCCTGGCAATGGGCCAGGACCACACTGAACCCCAGCTCTGCAAAAGGGGCCCCTCCCCGGGTGGTTGGATATCAGCCCGTTTGGGACTAGAAGGCTGAGGGCAGCTGACAGCTCAGCTGGACACAGGGCCCTCTATTTCCAGCAGGGGCTTGTGTCACCTTCCTTTAGCACTTGTTAAATGAGGGTGGGCAGGCGACATTTCCCAGGGGCTGGGGCTGTGCCAGGGCACCGGCCTGGGGTTGTCTTGTGCTCACGTCATGGACAGGTACCACAGGAACCTGACCTAGGACAGACAGACTGATGGAGGCATGTGCCTAAGGAAGAAGAGGCTCAGGGAAGCTTGCCTAAGGAAACAACCAGAAAGCTGGCTCTCAAATCTGAGATAGGAGCTCCGAGGGAGCTAGTCTATAAGACCTCGATGTGCCTGAAGACCTTGGGTCACAGAACAAACTTGCCCCCTCTCCCCAGCTGAAAGAGGGCAATACCTAATAACCACATCCCTGAGAGGAAGAGCGGCTTGTCAACTAGTCAGGTACAGTCTTGGAAGCCCAGCCAAGCTGCCTGCTAGTAAGGTGTCCACCACCTGTCACCTGAGGGTAGGTCAAGCCACTTAATGATGTTCCATCTCTAGTTCCATCAGAGGGTTCTGACTTCACAAGCCCAGGTCGAGCATGCTCCGTAATCAGACAAGTTTGGGAGACTGGAGGAATAAAGGTATGGATTCCAGTCTAGAACTAGACTTGCGGCTTGCTCTGCAACTTTGGGCAAGTAAACCTCTAGACCACTTCAGAGAGAGCTCTTCCCTCCCTGCCTTCAAAGGGTTATATGGAAACGAGCTTAAACTCCCTGGCACAGCCTAGAAATAGCTGTTATTACTTCCAGATATATATCACCTGTCATCTGAAGGTCACTCTGGCTGACCAGGACCCAAACCAACTCAACAAAGCCTGCTCCTTCAGCAAGCCTTCCAACAGGTGTGTCTGTTCCCCCCCATGTACTACAGCAAACAGCTTCCTGCGGGCAACAAAAGCCTCAGCTGCCTGTCTTTCCTTCCCAGCTGGTCCCCAGTAGAAGGCACTGCTGACATCTGTGACTGCTGTAACAAGGGTGACTGTGGCATTCTGGGCCACTCCAGGAGACAGCCCCGTGTCATGAGCCCGTGGCCCAAGTCCACTTCCCGCAAACGCAGGCACGGTAGGTCCTAGGACAGCCCCTGCTCAGTCCAGGGTACCTGCTGTCACTCCAGGGTGGTATTCTCTCCCCGTGTCCCCCAGGCAGGCTGTCTACCCCTAGAATGCAGTTTCAGGCCTTCTAACCCATCTTGGGGCTAGGTAGGAGGGGCCAAGCCCCCACCCAGAGGCAGCTGGGGTAGCTCTATTGTCCGGGGCCTTGGATACAATGGGGCTTGTGGGGAGAATAACATGGCTGTCAAAACAATCTGTAATCTCAGCCCACTGAGGCAGGGTAACCTGATTCCTGGTTGGGGACTAAGGTGACTTTTAGGTGGTGGTCTTGTTTTCCGCCCCCTGCAGTGGCAGATGAAGCAGATGTCACCGTGGGGCCGCTGATCTTCCTCGGAAAGGCTAGTGACCATGACATGGAAGGATGGACTTCTCCGGCTCACACCTCCGTGGCACTAGGTGGAGGCCTGGCTGCAGTGGCATCCCTGGCCCTGGCCGCTGTCGTCCTGGCTCTCACCAGGCGGGGTTCTGTTTCCCACCCTGTGTCTGTTTCCCAATAAAAGAAGAAAGCACTGTCTGGGAGTGGTGCAGTGACTAGACAGGGGGTCAGAACTGGTAATGGCAGCCTGGGGACGGGGAAACTGGGCCGGGTACACATAGCATGATCCAGCAAGTCCTGCTGTGTCTCAAGCCCACTGTCTGCACAGCGGGGAGGGTGCATTTCCCCAGGGGCAACTGTAAGGATCTAGTGCCCTCTACATGGCTAAGGTGGACGCTGCTGGAGCCAAAGCAGGGTGGGCCGAGCCAGCCCGACTCCTAGGCTAGCCAAGAATCTTGTGTCTCTAGGCCCCACGGATCTGATCCCTTCCCTAATGGCAGCAGGCAGCAAGCCACGTGGCCAGATGTTAGAAGCCCAAAGGCCAGTGGCGATTGGGTCCCCCCAGCAGGGTAGTGATCTGAGCTCTGCTTCTTGCCTGGTCTCGGGCCCTCACCTTGACCTGAAACAGCCTTTGAGCAGGCCTGGGGTGTGCACTTGCCACAGCCACGTCGCTGGCTCTAAGGTGGGTGCCTTTTGCTTTGGGGAGTAGGAGACAGGCTGGGACCTGCTCTGGTCTCAATGTCACGGAGGGGAGCTGCTGCCCAGCTTCCCCTGACCTTCATTCTCCCCCATAAGCTGCCTGCCCCTGGCCCAGCCATGCCCTCTAGGAGTATTTAACAAGGGAATGGTGCTCTGGGGGTACCCAGGGAGCTATGACCCCTTCTCTAGGGGGAGGTGCTCAGGCCATGCTCCCTTGGGGTGGAGTATGAAGGCCCCCCCCATAGTCAGGGGGGACCCTGAGCTGGCTCCAACCTTGCCCCTAGACCTAAGCCACTCTGTTCTCATCAGGTGAAGTTCACCTTTGCTTGTAGCAGCGCAGCTTGGCTAGCTGTGGGCCTGCCGGTCCTCATGGGCAACACGGGGCAGGTGCCTTCTGGGCAGGGTTGTCAGACATAAGCTGACTGAAGCCAGAAAGCACTCAAGTGCAGCAGTGAGGATGGCTCTTTGACTCTGGTCTGGCTTCTGGCTGAGGGTAGGGTCTCCAATGTGTTGATTTGAGAAGGCACAGATGTCTATGGTGCATTCAGAGCAAGGTTTGTGGTGTTTTTTTTTTTTTTTTTTTTTTTTGACGGTCTCATGCTGCCACCCAGGTTAGAGTGCAGTGGCATCATCATAGCTCATTGTAACCTCAAATTCCTGGGCTCAAGCGATCCTCCT